GTAAGAAAAGTGAGGGGTTGGCAAAAGAAAGGAAGACTCTCAACCAGATGAATTGATAACAATAACTGCAGCAAAAGGCTTATGTGTGTCAGAAGTGATAAGGATCACACAGGATAGGCCAGAGTGCAGATGTGTTTTTCATAGGGACACTATGATTCATGCTTGACTCAATGGCACCTACCATTGCCAACAAAAGAATTCTTACAGTTAACTTTGTTAGAAGCATCTTGATTTTAGGATGTTCAAATCCACAAAAGGTGAATCTTAGAACTGATGGCATATTTTTTAGACATTGAAGAGTGTCTGTTAGATGAATGCATGGGTTTTGGATGGGAGAGGGCATGGCTGAAAACATACCGGCTGAGAAGCCTGTTCTAATTAGGTCTCATCAATTCGATGACCCTGTGAACAGATCAGAACCTTGTGCTGTCATCGTGATCTCCACTATGCTCAAACCCATTGTTGCTGTCACTGACAATCCTTCTCATTGAAGCTGCTTCTTTCTTTCTATGAAACTTGTTATTGTTAAGTGCCATCAAGTCAGAACTCGTTTATAGCTGACCCTCGGGTAGGTTTTCAGAGATTGTATATCACACGGGAAGAGATTGGTCATCTTTCTCCCAAGGAGCAACTGGTGGATTTGAATGCCTTTGGGTTGTACAACTCTTTTTTTTGTTTTGTTTTGGCCAAACTTTTAAATTTAGTATTCTGTAGTTGTTTGGGTTGTACAACTCTTTGATAGCACAATTCTTCAACCACTAAACCACCAGAGCGAGGGATGTGGAAACATGACCTAGGTCATAGTGTTATTGCCAGGGCCAGGGAAAAGTCTAAGCTTTTCCACCCATCAGATATAATGTAGGAGGCAGGGAAGGCCTTTCTGTTCTTTCTCTAAGGCAGTAAGTATGTTCTTCCCTCTGCTAGTAGAAACCAAGTGACCAGTTGTAACAGAATCAGGGCCTGGGGCACTTTATTCCAAAGTAGGTTGAAGTTGTAGTGCCCTTTTCTCTTCATTCCTTCATGCCTTTATTCCCTAGTCTTACTAGAGCATCTCCTCTGTCCCAAGCTGTGCTGGGACACAGTGATGTTTCAGATATGTGGCCCCTAATCTTGCAGCTCTTGTGGAGATGAACTGAGAGACTTGGACACAGGAGACAAATAGAAGAAGGCACCACAGAAAGATACCAGAAGATACTGTGTCCAGGGGCATGCAGATGAGTCCCGATGGGACAGCTGTGGCTGGAGCAGTGTACACAGTTGAATTCATACTTGACACAGGCCCTCATGTTCAGGAGAATGTTTCTTTCTATACACGCCAAATAAAACTTGGTGCTATTAAGTCAAGCACATCTCATAGTGATCCTGCAGGACAAAACAGCGTAAGACCAGGCCATTTTCTCATTCTGTTATTCATGGGGTTGTTACGGGAACCAACTTGACAGCGTCTAATAACAATAGTCTTTAGAGAAGCAGAGTGACACGTCTTTCTCTCACAGTGCAGCTGATGGATTCAGGTCACGGACTTTTCCTTTAGCAATTGAGTGCTTAAACATTGTACTACCAGGCCTCTTCATGCACGCACAAATGCTTCTTTATTAAAGAACTAGTGTTCATTCTCTCATTTACTCATATTTGAAACAATATGTGCCATTGAGTTGGCACCAACTCAAAGCTGACCCGCCAGTGTATTTTCAAAAACGGTAAATCACATGGGAGGAGACTGTCCATCTTTTCCCTCCAGAGCAGCTAGGGGACTCAAACCACTTGTTTTTGTGTTGGCAGCACAATTTCTTACCCGCTAAATTCCCAGACTTCTTTATTTTAAATAGATTATTCTATATGCAGGAGTGGCATCCATTTCCTAAATATCATGCCTCTGGAAAGTCAATGAACTTTGATAAATGTCGATAGTTGTAGAGGGGCTTCAAGCCTTTTGTTCATAGGGTTGCTATGAGTCATACTTGACTCGAAGACAATCATCAACAACAACATTTCACAATAGTATTCAAAAGGGAATCAAAAGAGACAGATATGGGAAGCCCATACCCCTTGTCCCTCATGTACTAGTATACAATAAATCTACTTTTTCTGTTAGAAAAAATTCGAAATTGACAGAAACACATACAGTAAAAAGCCTCCCCCCTGATTTATATTCCATCCACACCTCTTCCTTCCCGAGAAGTAAGTGTCACTACTGAGTCCAGGATCCCCATGCTTCAGCAAGTATATTTCCCCCTTCTCTGCAGAGCTGGTGACACTGCACTGTGTTATCCTGCCTCATGCAAACAATCTATTGTGACCTCCCCTTATCAAGACAAGAAGCCAGCTTTATCGCACTATGGGACAGTGGTCCATTGTGTGCATGCTGCGTCATTAGTCTAAACAGGCTCTGTTGATGGACGTTTGAATGGACACCAAGTGTTTTTACATTACAACAGAAATGTCAGTTGATGACCTTGTCAGAAGTCATTGCGCACAAAAAATGAGGAATTTTGAAGGCTAACTTCTTCAGAAGTGGAGTTGCTGGGTTAAAAGTTTAAGTAATTTTTTTTAAATAAAAAATGGTGTTTTGATGGACATTGCTAAATTGCCTTTATGGAAAAACTCAAATTCACCACTAACAAGGCAGAACTGACTCATAGCTCGCTGATCCTCCAGCTGATCTTCCAAGGCTATAAACCATAAGGAGGAGCTTGTCCAGCTTTCTCCTGCAGAACTGCTGGGGGGTTAGAACCACCAGAGAGAGTGTCTTTGGGTTAGCAGCACAGCTGCCTGCAGACTACGCCACCACCACTCCTTGTCTATATGGAGGTTGTTCAAAATTATGCTCCCAGGGAGCTCTGGTGGCCTAGTAGCAAGAAGCTGTGCTGCAGTCTCGAAGGCACAGTGGTTCAAGGCTACTCCGCGGAAGGAGGATGTACAATCTCCCCCCATGAGATTAACTGCCTCTGAAAACCCGCTGGAGGGTCAGCTATGGGTCAGTTCAGACTCTGCGGTACACAGCAATAACACTAGTGGAGAATGAGAATTTGTGAGCATATCTAAGTAAGTTCTCCGATACACTGAGTAAGGCAAGTTTTAAAAGAAACGGTACCAGGTAGGCCCCTGAGGAAGTTTCTCTCACAAGTAATGCCCAGAGAGTTTTCTGCTCCGTATTTTCATTTCCATTAATTCGCCACTGCAAGGACGACAGTAGAGTAACTATCATCTCCCCAGATGAAGACGAGCCTCGCCTTCAATCAGTGAGGATTTTTTTTGGGTGGTGTGGGTGGAAGAAGCAGAGAGTCACTGGGCAAGTGGCTTACTTTGCACAAATGAGTAAGCAGGACTAGAGACAGCCTTGCATATTCTTTCAGGCTAACAAGAACCTGCTCCTACTGCCCTGTATGATTGCTCGCGCCCCCTCTTAAAGGTCACCTTTTCTTATACTGTGCAGGGGCAAGGTTGTCCTTGACTGACAATGGAGTTCTGTTCCAATGACTTTGTCATAAATCAGCTCTGACATAAGCATAATGCCCCCTTTTTTTGTATCGCATCTTACTATCAGTAACAGAGTTCTGGGGGCCTGGTCCATAAGGAGTTGTACTGTTAAGCCCAAGGCCAAGCTTTTCAGGTGGTGGAATCCACCAACTGTTCCCAGGGGGAGAGATGTGCAACAGCTTCCTGTGTGATTTACAGCCCCCTAAAACCTGCTGGAGGATCAGCTCTGAGTCAGTTCCAACTTGATCACAATGTGTTTGAGTTCTGAGGGTTGTTGGTTTTTTTTTAAATAAAGGCAGTTTAGCAATATCCATAAAGTTTTTTTCCATATCCATAAAAATTTTTAAATCAATTCTCTAGCAGCTCATTGGGAGAAAAATGGGCAGTCTCCTTCTATGTGACTTACAGCTTCTGACATCCTGCTATAAATCAGAATAGACTTGACAGAATAGAGTTTGGGTTTTGGATATTATTGGTATTTTATTTGTCTCTAGTGGTTAACATGAGAATGATAACATCAGCAAATTAATCTCTGCTACATTAAAGACTAAGGTGTGCCTGATTCAGTTCATAGTCTTTCCAATTATCTGCTATACATCAGAGAACTGGGCAATGAATAAGGATGACAGGAGAATATTTGATGGCTTTGAGTTGTGGTATTGGGAGTGCTGAATATCTCATGGACTGATAAAAGAATAAACAGATATTTCTTGGAGAGGGTGCAACCAGAATACTTCTTGGAGGCAAGGATGATGAAGCTTTGTAAAACATATTTAGGGCATGTTGTTAAGAGAGCCTAGTCCTTGGAGAGAGAAATCGTGCTTTGAAAGATTGAGGGTCAGCAAAAGAGAGGAAGATCCTCAATGAGATGTATTGATACAGTGTCTGCAGCAAGGGCTCAAGTGTGTCAGATATGATGAGGATGGCACAGGAAAGGACAGCGCCTGGATCTGCTGTTCTTGGGGTCGCTGAGTTGTACTTGATGGCACTTAAAAACAAGGACAGTTTATGTAGTAGATATTAGTGAGATCAAACAAACAAATAATCATAGTAATAAAAGGATACTTAGAAGTGCTGTCTCTTATAACACAAATACCAGAGTAAGGACTGTTAACGTTTCAAAAAACCAAGTTTATCAAGCATGGTAGCACCACCGTGTGGCCATTGGATGCCTTCAAATTCTATCTTGCAATCTTATCATTCCATGGCACCTTTCAGCAACCTTGGGCATGGGCAGCACGGGGCCAAGTATTTCCATTTTACAGATAAGAATCCCAACAGAGAAGTAATTTGTTCAAAACTCTTAATATGTGTTTGACGTGACTGGCATAGTAGCACCAAGCGCCCTCACACACGATATTTCAGTCTTCAAAAGAACCCAGGGTGGTGACATGTATGATTGAAGAAACTAAGGCACAGAAAGGGGGAGCACCTCGCCCAAATTCCCACAGCTAGTGAGTGATAGAGTTGGTGCTGGCACACAGGACCATCTCTGACCCACCCGGTTCCTGTCTCTGCAGCTAGTCAAGACTGCTGAGCTGAATCCATCCCGGAACTACCTTGCTGGCTTCCACCCCCATGGGGTCCTGGCCGCTGGAGCCTTTATCAACTTGTGCACTGAGAGTACTAACTTCCCTTCCATCTTCCCTGGCATCACCCCCCACCTGATGATGCTGAGCATGTGGTTTCGAGCCCCTTTTTTCAGGGACTACATCATGGGTGCAGGTGAGTCTTCTATTCCCAGGCTCAGAAAATGAGACTGGAGACATAGAAGGGGGTATATCAAGGAGGAATACCAGCACTTCTAGGAAGTTCTGGTGGTCTAAGGTGAGGAGTTGTGCTGCCAGTCTTAAGGCAGGCAGTTTGAATCCACCAACTGTTCTGTGGGAGAAAGATGAGAAATCTCCTCCAGTATGATTTACAGCCTCTGAAAACCCACTAGAGGGTCAGTTCTGACCTGATGGCACATTAAAACAACAACTAACACTTCTGTGTTTCTTCAAAAGCATATGTGGTGGTAGAAGGAAGCTAGACCCAAGGAAGCTCTTCCCAAAGCACAGTGTGGGACAATGGGCTGGAGAGAGCTGGGAGTGGTAGACCCCGGGCTTCTTGATATTGCTTATCATCTCCTGGGTCTGTCGATCTACCCTCACAGCCCCTGCCATCTCTCACCTCACACCTGACAGCCCTCTATCTGTCTCTCCAGGGCTGGTTGCATCAGACAAGGAGAGTGCTGCTCACTTGCTGAGCAGGAAGGACGGTGGAAACCTACTGGTCATCATTATAGGAGGTGCCAAGGAAGCACTGGATGCTCGACCTGGAGCCTACAGGCTGTTCCTGCGGAAACGCCAGGGCTTCATCAAACTCGCTCTGATACACGGGTATCACATCTTTGAGATGAAAGCTCTGGGTTCCATTGACAATTGGCAAGGAGAATTATGTTCTGGTGGGAAGACAGCGACAGAGGCAGATCAGATTCCCAGCTCATTCACAATGGAGACTGTATTTTTTGTTTTGTTAATTTCATACCTAAATATCCAGAGAAATTTTCACAGGGGCAGACCCAGCTGTCAAAGGGATTGGGTGGGAAAGGACAGGTTACCCAAAGTTGACCGTTGGCTTCAGACCTGTGGGATCTGGGAGAATGGGACATGGGGTATATTTCAGCACTTTTCCCACCTTGAGGTGAACCATCTTTGAGGAAAAGGAACCTGCTGATGTGGAAGAGATTTTTCTAGAGAGTTTGCACATGTTTTATATGTAGGAGAGGGTCTCTGAAGCATTCTAGTCTACCTGAGTGGTGCAGCTGGGAGGTTATGGCCCTGGGAGGGTCTGGAGCTTGCCCAAGGTCAGTAAGCGAGGTCCTGATAGGTCTGGGAGAGAATCTAGCCCTTCTTCCTGTAGTCCAGAGCATTGTTCTTTTTTCCAGTTCCCAGATGTTAGATCCTTGCAGGAAGCTAGAGGACTTTTTAGCTTGCATCTTCTCTGCCACCTCCCTTTCACCCTTACTCTTTTATTTCCCTCCAGGGCGGATCTGGTGCCCATCTTCTCCTTTGGGGAGAATGAACTATTTGACCAGGTTAATAACCCTCCTGGTTCCTGGTTGCGCAGGACCCAGGACAAGCTTCAGAGCATCATGGGCATCTCTCTCCCGCTCTTCCACGGCCGTGGCATCTTTCAGTACAGCTTTGGCATCCTACCCTACCGCCGGCCCATCACCACCGTAGGTGAGCCAAGACTCACGTGGGGTGGGAGATGCTGTGGGGAAAGGGGTATGGGCTGGTTGCTGCAAGGGGACGTGCAGATGGCAAGATGCACCCCCCTACCTTCATGGAACTTACATTCTAGACTGGGAAACAGGAACACAAGCCAATATGCCTAATGTGAAGCAGACTGAGATTCTGTAACAACAATAATCCCCACTGATTCCAGAGCACTTGCTTTGTGCTAGGCACCACTCCAGCTGCCTTTCATGCACCACTTCAGTCTTTTGCAACAACTGGAAATGCTGAGATTATGATGCTCATTTTACTGACAGCAAAATGAGGTTTAGAGACATTGAAACTACTTTCAAAGATCACACTGCCTTTGTGCAACTAAGGTGCAATTAGAGTCAGGCTCTGTCTGATTTTTTATTATGGCAGAGGAGGGCTGCATTCTGACCTAGAGAATGGAACAAGGCTAATTGAAGTACAGGGTGTTAAAGTACAGGGCATTATATATTAAGAGAAGGCCATTCCAAGTCTATCCAAAGTGTGTGCACAGAAGCAATCTGTAGGTTCCAGGTTATAATTTCTTTTTTAAATTATGCAGTCTTAAGCAATTTAATTAGTTTAACAAGCAAATAAATGAATAATAATAATAATACATAAATAAATAAGTAAGTACATACATATATACATAAACAAAAGCAATTTCCTTAGTGCCAGACACTTCCTTTGTTTTCCTCTTGGGTTTTTACTATCCTACTCGGTTCTTCTTCCAGTTCTGCAGAGCTGGGCGTGTTCATCTGCAACCATGGTTTTGCTAGTTGATCACAGACTTGGTGAACCTGATTCCATGCTCTGATCTGTGTTGTGTAGCAGTAGTTTTGTGAGTTGGACCATTGCTGCTTTCTCCACAGCTGTTCCCAAGAGGTGAGGTAGGGGGCTGCCTCCCCAGCCAGGCAGAGTCAGAGGAAGGAGCCTGGTTAGGTCCTTCCTGACCCTTCTCAGTGATGAAGAAGCATTTTGGGTCAGCGTGGAGGGAGGAGGCAGAAGAAGAAGAGCTGACTGGGTGGTGTGCCAGCCCCAGTATAGAAATAGATATGCTCGAAATCACAGCTTTATAAACTTGCAGAAAGGTAGATCATTATTGTTGTTGTCATGTTCCATTGAGTTGGAGCCAACTCCTAGCTGAGTTTCCAGAGGCTGTAAACCACACGGGAGAAGACTGCCCATCTTCCTCCCATGGGGCAGCTGGTGTTTTCAAAATTTGTGCCTTTGGGTTGGCAGCACAATTCCTTACCCACCAGGCCGCCAGAGCTCCCTTCTGGAAACATAGAGTCTTAGAAATTGAAGCTCATTGCCAGAGTTTGAAGCCTAACATTGGCCCTGTGACTTTGAACAAATTACTCAACCTCTCTGGGCCTCATTTTCTCACTTGTCAAATAGAAGCAGTTACAGCTTCTGTTCCCAGGATTGCTGTGAAGATGAAAGGGATTGATACATAGAAAGTGCCTAACACATTGCTTTTAAGAATATTAAAACTCAATTTTTTTAAAAATTAAAAAGTGTATAATTAGCATTTAAGTATTTTAACAAAGGTAATTTTTCCCTTTAAAATGTATGAAAAGAACGGTTCAAATCCACCAGATGTTCTGCTGGAGAAGGAGGAACAATGTCCTCCTGTACCAGTCAGAGCTGATTCGACCACACTCACACACACACACACACACACACACACACACACACACACAATTTTAAAAAATGTATGAAAAGAAACAAAGTATTTTAAAAATGAAAAAGAAACAATTGCATGAAAGCAGGCTTGGAAAAGGTGTCAGTAATAGCTCTTTCCTGCAGGGATGACCATGACCAGGGGGTGGGCACCTGCCCTGCTCCAAAGGGCCCTGTGACCTCCAGTAGTTCCACTCTGAGATAACACCCACCTTTATGCCTTGCAGTGGGGAAGCCCATTGAAGTGCAGAAGACACTGATGCCCTCGCAGGAGGAGGTGGATAATCTACACCAATGCTACATCAAGGAGCTGTGCAACCTCTTTGAGACCCACAAGCACAAATTCAATGTTCCTGCAAACCAGCATTTGGAAATCTGCTGAGCACTGAAGGGCAGGTCCCAACTGGAGAGAATATCAGGGGGACCAGTAGGAGGTGCTGTGATCTAAGAAACCTTCCTGGAGATGTTGCCTGAACACATCCCAGAGCCTTCCCAGACCCTTCCAAGCCCTGCAGGACTTAAACAAGAGCCGAAGTCCAGTTCTGGTCCCCATGATTTACTTTCCTACAATGAAACCTCACCCTTCCCTTAGCCTCCATCTACACTTTTATGAAATAGGAGAGGGGACTGGAAGAGAATGAGTTTGAGGTCTTTGATTGTGATGTCACTCTAAGGTCAGGTAAAGGAGAGCAGTGACTGAGGGCTTTTCTTCAGCTAATGTGAGTGAAAAGTCCCTGGGTGGCACAAATGATGAAGGCCTTGAATACAAATGGAAAGTTGACAATTGAAACCCACCTAGAGGCACTTTGGAAAACAGGTCTTTTGACCTGCTATGGTCAAAGCTGAGGTCTGCTTTTGCAGGGTCACAGTCTTGCACATGTGTGGCCACCGTGAGTCAACATCAACTTGACAGCAATTAACAGCAACAACACCCTGAGTGACAAAAGAAGCTACCACCTCTAGCCTTCTCTCCTACAAGCTCCTTTCTCCTGCAATTTGTCCCAGCTTCTCCCTCCTCAAGCTGGACAGGAGGGGCTGACCATTAAGCCTTAAAATGAATCACTTTGGGCATTTTGGAGTATCTTGCTCCTCTGAACTGTGACAGATGTAGCCATGTGCTCCAGCTCCACCTACTGACTCAGATAACCCCTGAGCATCAGTGGCATAGACTGAACCCTGTCCTGTCCTGTGCCGCCCTCATCATCTCTAAGCCCATTACTGTTGTCAGTGTGTCAATCCATCTTGAATGATGTATTAATTTGCTGACACTCCATGTTTCACAGCACAATGTCCCTTTCCAAAGAATAGCCTCTCCTAGCAACATGTCCAAAGTATATCAGCCAAAGCTTTGCGATCTTTGCCTCTAAGAAGCACTCTGGCTCTACTTTTTCTAAGGCATAGCTGATCTTTTGCCAGTTCATGGGATATTAAATGCCCCTCTCTAACACCACAACTCAAAGGCATCAATTCTTCTTTTATCACCTTTATTCATTGTCCAGCTCTCACGTGCATAGCAAGGAATTGAAAAAACATCCCATAAGGGGGACTCTTATTCTTCCATTGCAACTTCAGCCTCTGACCTTGATACAAAAGTGGGCTCAATAAATGTCAGTTCGGTAAATGAGGGGATTCTATTTTGGTCCTCTTTCCTTTTTCTGTATGTGTCAACCAAGGAGCCCTGGTGGTTCATTAAAAAAGTTAAGGGCTCAGCAGTTTGAAACCACCAGCCATTCCTTGGGAAAGACATGTCAGCCTGCTCTTCCAATAGGGTAGTTCTATTTGGTCCTATAGGGATGTTATGAATTGGAATTGCGTTTAGAGCATTAAACAGCATCATCCCTCAACCAACAGGACTGGTCAAAGTTTCATTTCTGACCCCCAACCTGGTTCTGAAGCTAGATCAAAGTGGTCCAGAGGAGACCTTGTTACTTCTTTCCTGACTCATCAACCACAAGCAGACCACTTCTAGCCTTCTTCTGCTGGGAGAAAAAGGGGAAAGGATTTATTAAAAGGAACATTAGAACACAGAAAAAGAGCACCCATGTGAGCGGTGTGTTTGTGTCTGCAGAGTGGGTGAGGCGGCCCAAATGTCCTGACTGGAAGAATGTGGAGGGTTGGGACTTGTATCCCTGCAGCCCTTGCTCCTCTATCTCCCAGGCTCTTTGGCAGTTAGCAGTGAGGAGACATGAAGTGACTGGACAGATACACAGTTTGTGAGCACCCCCTCACCTTCTTGGGGTGAAGCAGAGCCTTTTCCCTCCAAAAGCCAATCACACAAAATTGCACCTTGGGGAAGGGACATCTATCCAGAAATTTGGGTTCAAATTCCAATTCTACCTCTTGTCAGTGACCTTGGGCAAGCCTCCAAATAGAAATTTGGTCACCTGAGAACTAAAGAGGACAGCATCCACCTCTGGAGTTGTGAGCTTTTCCTGAGATAAGAAGCCACTCAACATCCTTTATTAAATAATGCAGAGGATGTGTAAACCAACTGTCAGGTGAAAAGGCACAGTGTCTCCTCTTAGGCAGGGGAGTGTAAAAGCAGCAGGAATGAAGAGAGTGCAGAGGAGGGGGAGGTGGTTTTCAGCAGAGGGGAAGCCTTGGAGAAATGGCAAGATTTGCCAAGAATACCTATAATTCTCCATATTAGTTATCTACTGCTGTGTACACCACACACTCCAGAACTTAGTGGCTGGTCTAGCAATTCCTCATTACTTCTCACAGTTCAACAGTTTGGTTGGATGGCTCTTCTTGCATCTTGCCTGGGTCCTCTGCAGCCATATTCAATTTATATGATAGCTGGCACTGGGCAGCTTGTGTGGCTGGAACTGGAGGGCTCTTTTCTCCACATGGGCACTTCTAGGTCCCTATTCTGTGCTGACTGGCCTTTTGTCACTCAGTGATGGCTGGGTTCCAAAGGAATGGGTGCCAAATGACCTTACCAGCCTATGACCTAGGTGGCACAAAGTACACAGCATTGTTCTAAAGGCCAAACCAAGCCACCAGGCCAGGCCAGAGTCAAATAGGAGGAGAGGACCTGCCTTGGGATGGAAGGAATTGTAAAGTTCTATCTCAAAATCATGTGAATACATGGGGTGGAGGGGATTCTTGTGGTCACCTTTGCAAACAATCTGTCAAAAGTTTAAAAATGAAAACATGTAGCATAACCTTCTCCCTTTCTGTCTCACCTCTCTACATACCTTAGAATTATCCATGTGACTATATTAGCTGTTTTTCATCCTAAGAGTCCTACCTCGGTCTCTACATCTCTATCTCTTAACCAAACCAAAAAACCATGTCTGCCAGCAAAATAGTTTGTTTTTTTTTAAAAAGCAACATAGTTCTGACTCTTGGTGCATATCTGCTGAGTTTCTGAAGCTATAAAGCTGTACAAAGGAGAAGGCCTCATTTTCTCCCCAAAGAATAACTAGGGGATTCAAACTAACAACCTTTTGATTGGCAGCCCAACATATAACACATTGTGCCACCAGAGCTCCTTGTCCAGATCTCTCACTCTCTGCAATTCATCCTTTATTTGGCAGCCAGAATGAGTTGTCTAAAACACAGAGCTGGCCTGACCACTCCCATACTCAACATTCCTCTATGATTCTCTATTGCTCCTAGGACAGAATCCATATCTGTCAGGGGCCTAGCAGGAATGAGATAGTAATATTGAGAAGAGTAATTTGAGAAGGGATTAATAAAGTGAGTGCAGAGTGGAGAAAACCAGAAAGCATGGTGAAGTGACCAGGGCTGTGACAGCAGGAGAGCCATCATTACAACTCCGAGACCTAGAAGGACAAGAAGAGGCAGTTACCTGAATCCAAGAAAAAGTCACATACCGGAAGGTGTCATGGAGCACCACATGACCGTGCAGGGAAGGAGCTGAAATGAGCACTTATGTCCAAATCACCATTCTCCGTTCAGTCTCCTGCCAAGGCTCCCATTGCCTGAAGCCACTTGGAAGTTGGAAAACACCATGAAGACTTGTGGCTGCAGTCTCCCAGGGCAGTGAGTCAAGTGGAAATAGTGGACAGTGGATTTGAAGGAGTCAACTAAGCTTCTTAGCCTGTGGCTGCCACTCTCCACCATTAGGCCTTCATTCTCTCCAGCCTTTTTCCTTTATTCCTATATGGTGTTCATCCTGGACCATTTGCCGTTTTTTCTGCAATTCTCAGGAGGCCCAGTGTCCCAGGGGTTAAAGCACTCAGCTGCTTTACTTAGTCCTCTAGGAACACTATGAGTGATAGAAGAAAGATGGGTAATCTCCTCTCCTGGGATTTTGTTGTTGTTGTGTACCATTGAGTCGGAAATGACTCAGAGCTGACCCTCCAGTGAATTTCCAGGGACAGTTAATCACATGGGAGGGGATAGTTTCTCTCTCCTGTGCAGCAGCTGGTGGATTTGAACAGTATGCCTTTGAGATTGCAGCACAGCTTCTTGCCACTGCTTCTGAAAACAATTTGGAGGGTCAGCTATGAGTTAGTTCCAACTAGACAGTACAAAACAACAACATAGGATCACCATGAGTCAAAATGACTCAATGGCAGGGTTGCTGTTGCTGTTGTTGTTGCTATGTGTTATCAAGTTGACTGCAACTCATAGGAAACTTGTGAACAACAGATCTGAACCTTGCCCTATCCTGTGCCTGGCTCACAATCTCTGGTATAGTTGAGCCCATTGTTACAGTCACTGTGTCAATCCATCTTGTTGAGGGTCTTCCTCTCTTACACTGACCCTCCACCTTTCCAAGTATGATGTCCTTCTCCAAAGTGTGTGGAGCATCCTTGCCTCCAAGGAACACCCTGGTTTCATTTTCCTCAAGACAGACCTATTGTTCCTTTGGTAATCCATGGGATATTCAGTATTCTTCTCCAGCACCAAAACTCAAAGGTATCAATTCTTCTGTCATAATCAGTCATTACAAAACTTTCAGATGTATAGCAAGTAATGGAAAAGACCGTGGCTTGGATCAGGTGCATCTTGGTCTTTAAACGAATATAATTGCTTTTTAGCACATTCTGGAGAAATCCATGACTGCAAATTTTCCCAATTAAACTAGTTTTTTGATTTCTTGTGCTACTATCAAGAATGTTTATTGTGGATCCAAGTAAGATTAAATCCACCCCTCCCCCCCAATCTGTCATGATATTGCCTCCTGGTTTGGTGACTTTTGTTTTCTTGATGTTGAGATGCACTGTGTATTGAAAGCTACAGTCTTTGATCTTCAGTAGCGAATGTTTCAAGATTTCCTCACTTTCAGCAAGCAAGATTATGCTCCAGGGAGCTCTGGTGGCCTTGAGAGAAGAAGCTGCACTGCAATCCCAAGGGTGCGCGGTTCAAACCCATCAGATGTGCTGCTGGAGAAGGAGGAACAATCTC